GGAAGGAAGGAAGGAAGGAAGGAAGGAAGGAAGGAAGGAAGGAAGGAAGGAAGGAAGGAAGGAAGGGAGGGAGACAAAAAGGAGACCAAAAAACAGTCTCAAAAGTAATACATTGCATAGAGAGGTCCAGGAGAACACAGTGCAATTAGATATACTCTATGCACCAGAACTCAGTACAAATGAGTGTCTTCATTTTGCTAAAAGGCAAGGTACTGATTTTCTTCCACTGCCCAGAATATCACTAAACCTCCTCTTGCTAGCTCAGCTTTTCAACCCACCACATTTTTGATGCAAAAAGATATTTTTGTATCAAGAATATCAGCTCACCACATTACTAGAAATGATGTTTGGCTGTTTCTAGGAAGAATAATCCATCCTCAAAGAACAATGATTTGTAATTATTGATTTTATTCAGACATATGAGCTGTCAGATCTGAAATTAATTTCTGAAGGCAAGGCCAAAAATGAGAATGGTATTAACATATTCACCATGCATCATCCTTAGGTGCATGTAATTTTGAAGTACTAGCAGGGTATGCAAAATTTATTTCCATCTCCTCTCTACAAAAAAATGGTTGTTTTGAAGGAGTTGTAATTCATTCAAATGAGTTACTTCTTGAATATGCATTAATAATTAGTAGCTCTTTCAACATCATATTCCAGTACACTGGCATTCTTCATGCAGAAAATCACCAAACATCAGGCTTCCTAGAGCAAAACAGATTCTTCACATTCTGGGGGAAGTAGGAAAGTATTTCATGCTTCCAATTTGGCTTAGAAATAGTATTCTTTATGAAATCATCCCATTAAAATGCCATCATCCTGTTTAAATAACTTGCGTAAGTCAGTGGCTTCAAGAGAAGTCAATGAATCTTGGAACCCAGAGTGGATAACTAGACTCATCCCTGTGTCTCCTTACCTCACAGACATCAACAAAATGACCTTTCAAGAGCTCTGCTTTAAGAACCCAAAGTTGGCTGTAGAGAAGTTGAGTGATGACTACAAAATATACTGTGAGAAAGCACCGAAAATAGGCAAGTGTTTAAACTTAAGGATAGATTTAGGCAAAACCTGAGCATTTTCTGATGCAAGAGACAGTCAGCAGAAAAAAACCAAACTTTGTGGTGGAGATATGGTCAAGACATAATAACTATGTCTTTTATTTCATCTTGAAAAGCAATAGACAAGTACCACAAGAGCAGGATGCAGCTATAAATCATCAAAAATGACGGTGATCATGATTGTTCATTCCTACTTTGCTATCTAGTAGGGATTTTAAACAATACAGAACCATCTTCTGCCAAGTTTTCTGGAATAAGAGATTTGTGGAAGAATGTTTGTTAGGGCATGCTCTTGGGATAACATCTAGGAGGGGGTGAAGAAGGTAGCATGGGGCAGAGGCAGGTATTCAACTATGGGATAGTTGCACCAGGCCTTGGTGGACAGGATAGGCCTTGCTGAGCGGTCCTTCACTGAAGCAAGTGCCCTGGCCTTTTGTACTTCCACGCTGATGCGTATGTGATGTGGAAACCCTGGAGGAGAAGATAATCTTGAGCCAGGCAACTTCTTTTGGCTGAGGCAACTCCCAGGAGACCCTCAGCTGTGAGCTGTTTGTGGCCAATAGCCAGGCAGCTAGAGAAATGAGTGCTTTGCTCCTAAAAGGAAGATATAGGTAGCACCCAGTAGCAACACAGCTGTCCACTTGCTTTGAAAAGACATCTCTCCCTTTCTTAGTACTTTCTTCAGAAATCAGGTTCCTTTCGTTTCCTGGGAAACTTATTCTAGAAAGGATTTCTCTACTGGTACAACTTGTGTGGGACCAAAACTGCGAGGTCTGGAGATCTCTCATCACTCCTCTGCTCCCCACCCTAGAGTGTGCTCTTACTTAGCTGATAACTCTGCTGATCTTGGAAGGGCTTACAAGGAGGCCCAGCCCTGATGTCTCTGCGATCCTGGTCCTCAGGACAGGCTGTGGGTGCCTACTTGTCAATTTGCCATCAGGATTGGGCTAGGAAGTACTAAGAGAACTAGAAAATTCTCACCTTCCACTAATACCTTCCCTTCAGTCCAACACCACAGGATCCATTCTAGTTTTCTTCCTTTCCATGTTTCTAGCTCTCTTCTTTGGCAACAAAAGACCTGATTCATACTCTCTTATATTTATCTACTTATTTAATTGACCCTCTCCCTGTAACTCATTTCTGTCTCCACTGCCACACTTACACCTCACAGATGCCTTCCCCCCTTACCTGGGACTCTGGTGTCCTGTGACAGCACCTCCAGCCATTCTCCTTATCTCATTTGGACTCTACTGCCTCTGTCCAGGGTGCTGTCTTATGTGGAAACCAACCTCACTATGATCCATCTGATAACTTCTCCCTATATATCACTCTCTTCACGTCACTGAGGCTCTGACTCCCAGTACCTGACCATCCTTTCATCCTTCCCCACCCTGCCCAGGTACTAACTCATTACACCAAGCATTATTCATTTCCTATATGGGTCCTTTGTTCATCTTGCTTGGACTCTGTTATCCCACACCAGGCAACAAGGGCATTTTGTGTTCTTCCCATCTGCCCCATTCCAATCCATGTTGGCTTGCTACCCTGTCCTCCCACCTGGGTCTCCTCCTCTGGCTTGGACTACTCCCAGTGCACCAAATTTTTCATATATTTTTTGTTCCTTGCAGTTCTGAATTCTGTGAGCGAGGTTGCCCTTCATGTGAACACCCTTCTCAGTCTGGGTAGGCTTCAGATAGCAGTGCAGGAAGTCCTGTGGGGAATTTCTTCTTACCTTACCTGAGTGCCTGACATCCCATTAGGTCGTTATGGCCCGTTTCTCCTTTTAGTGCTATCACTTAACTTGTTCTCCCCTAACTCATGATTTTAGAACTTCATTGTTTAGCCATCATATAAGTTTGTTTGTTTGTTTAACTCAGTGTAGTGGTGGGAGAAATGTCCATGTCTTCACTGAGTGTTTCTTCAGGCCCCACTCCCACACATTTAATTTGTACAATTTTAATTCTGTTCATAGCACATCCTTTTTTTTTAATTGTGTGTGTGTGTGTGTGTGTGTGTGTGTGTGTGTGTGTGGCTAGCTCAGCCCACTAGGGGTCGTGGCTGGCTGGCATGTGGTGCTGGGGGATTGAACCGTGGTCCCAGTACTTTAAGCTTGTTCTAAGTAGGTGCTTTAGACCACGGAGCCATCTCACCAGCCCCATAGCACATCCTTTTAGTCTGACCTTCTGACCTGACTCAGTTAGCATCTATCACCCCAGTATCTCAAGCCATCCTCCCCAACAGAAGGAAATAAAGAGCTGAAACCTCATAGTTGTTTCCTTGATGAAATACTCTCAAAAATTACTTCAAATAACCCAGCCTCAGATTTTTTCTATCTGCTTATTGCTTATTTGATCTCTTTTCCTAATAATTACGAGAAGCAAGACAAGGAAGATATGCTTAATCAACTGTTCTATTAAACAAATATAACTTTCACTCTACCTCTTAATTACTCATCCTTTCTTCCTTTCCAAAGATAATGGCAGTTTAGTTCTGTCTGGGTTTCCTTCACGTGCTTAATATTTTTCAAACATAACTTGAATCAAGCATCATGCACTTTTTCGTGCATGGCTTGTGTCATTCACCGTTATGTTTGTGAGTTCAGCTAGGTTGTTGAATGCAGAGATTGTTGACTTATTTTTGGTAAGGCAGAGAAGTTCCATAATAATCACCTCAATTTCTTATTGCCCCCCCCTTAATGAGCCTCTTTTTGCAGGAAATTTTAATACAAAAACATACTGTTTATCTGTATGTATAACTGCGATATATAAAAGAACAGAATTGGTTGTAACACTCAAGAAACAATTGTTTCTTGTGACAATAACATCCTCTTTGAATTTGCATCCTATGCTATAGTGTATCCAAAGTATAAATATATTGTGTTTTTAATCCATTCAAAGGTATTTTGTTTTGTTTTGTTTTTGTCCTTTTGAGATAGAGCCTCACTGTGCAGTTGGGGCTGGCCAAGAGCTCAGTTTGTATCCCAGGCTGGTCCTGAACTCACAATGATCCTCCTGCCTCAGCCTCCTGAGTGCTGGGATTACAGGTGTGCACCAGCATGCCTGGCTGCAATCCATTCAAAGCTGACAAGCATTTGAGTTGTCTAGTTTTGAGATACTCAATATAATCGTCTACTATATAACAACAATGGACCACATATACTATGGCTGGTATCATACTGTGTGTATTAGGCTATACCATCTAGGTTCGTATAAATATACTTTGTGGTGATTCCACAAATCCTAAGACACCTAACAATGTATTTCTCAAAAGGTATTGACACATGCATGCAGAAGGCTCTTATGAACATCTTTCCACATACTATTTTGTGTTCATATGAGCACATTTCTCTCAAATATATACCAAAAGTTTATATTTCACAAGATATACATATATTAAAGATTAATATGGAATTTCCAATAAATTTGTAGTGTTTGCACAAATTTATATTTCCATCAACCAAATATGTGAAATCTAGTTACTCTGATATTCCAGATTTTTATTTTTATTTTATACTTCACCTCCCCCTTTGTGGTGCTATTTCTGTCACCAAACTAATGTCCCTGTCAGTGTGGGTTCATTTCTGCACATCTTTACTTGGTCCATGTGTATTTTCTTGCACAGATATAGCACTATTAGTTACAATAAATTTGTAACAAATGTTGGCAATTGGTTACAACTTCTCTTCTCTGCTTTAATTTTTTAAGAATAATACACCTTTTCTTTTTTTTGACATCAGTTATTTT